ATACAATAATTGGAGATAGAGACCTGGTAGTTTTATGTAGTGACTCGATAAGGCTGTAGGCAGTAAACGCGTCTAGCCCTGAAGTTGGTTCGTCCAAAAAAAGCAAAGCAGGTCTAGTGACCGTTTCAACTCCAATGGCAAGGCGTTTCCGCTCTCCTCCAGAAATACCACGCGTGTTTTCATCTCCAATTATTGTATCTGCACAAACTTCCAGTCCCAATTCGGAGATCACCTTGTCCACATAAGCCAATTTCCTTTTTTTTGGAATTCCACTTGAAAGTCTAAGAAGGGCAGCATATTTAATGGTTTCCCTGACAGTAAGGGTTCTATACATAACGTCTTCTTGCTCGACAAATCTATAATAAGAAATAAGGGCCCTTCCTCAATACCCAACGGATTCTTTCCATGATGAATGTTCTCTCGGCTCGCCATTAACCAGTACTTTTCCGGAGATTTTACCAGAAGTAACTCGACCAGAAAGGATGTTCAAAAGAGACGTCTTTCCTGAACCAGACTGTCCCATTATTGCAATAATCTACTGCAGAAAGATAGCAAGGGTGTCTTCTTACTTGGCCCGGCTCAACATGTCCAAAAACATTTGAAAGAATTTCTCGATCTTCTTTACCTTTTTTACCAGGAATCGTAAATGAGACATTTTCCCATGCCAATGCTATCTTACTATTTTCATCCTCAAAGGAGAAAGACGAAGAGTGAGAACTAGCCGCAATTTCGACATCCTCAAACATAAAAAATTAAAACATTCATTAAAGACTTTCATGTTGCGGCGATGTAGTATCACGTCTGTTTTCAAAACATCAAGCAAGAGATCAGCAAAACCTTCACAATTTTTGTCAATTGGCATAGGCACAATTTGTTTTTCAACAAGGCGTGTTTTTCATCTCCAAACAATCACCTCTTGTTCATTTAGTGTGTCCTACGTTCAAAATAGAACTTTATCCAACGGCTCAAAGGAATCAGAGGAACATGCACTTGATTACTCCAAAACGATTCTGCTACCAAAGTCGCCATTCAAAATCCAGACCACTTTTGAGGAAGAGAAAAATTATTTCACCACCAAAGTCGACAACGAATATCGGCACCAAAGAGATGGGCCTTCTCCATTCGTTCTTCTTGATGGGCCTCCATTTGCAAACGGAAACTTACACATTGGACATGCACTCAACAAAATCCTAAAAGATATCTTTCTTCGGATTAAAATGCTCGAGGGGCATTCAGTGAGGTTTGACCTTTCCGCCTTTCCATTTTTAGGATGATCCCCGGTTGGGATGTCCACGGCCTTCCTGTTGAAATTAAGGCTATTCAAGAACTTCCACAGCCATTGGCACAACAAAAAAAGGAGCCATTGGCAATGGCTATTCGAAGGAAAGCTTTCGATGTGGCTGAACGTTACATCAAGATTCAAAAGGAGCAGTTTATATCACTTGGTATCATGGGTGATTGGGACGCTTTTTATTGTACCAAAGGTGTGCTAACTCGGCTTATAATTTTAGATCCATCCTATGAAGCCCGTGAGCTACGGCTCCTCAAAAAGCTCCTTGAAAAGAATCTTTTAAAGCGAACTCTCAAACCCATTTACTGGTCGCCCTCTTCCCAAACCGCACTCGCCGAATCAGAGCTGGAGTATGATAATAATTATAGAAGCACTGCTCTTTATTTTTCATATCCGTTACTTGAAGATGAGCAGAGCGTTTCATGTAGCCTTGAGGACGGAGAGCATTTTCCTGTGTCAAATAATTCTTCGCCATCAAATGGTTGTTCTTTATCACTGCTCATTTGGACAACTACGCCGTGGACGATACCTTCAAACATGGTAATTACCCGGCTCTGTTTACCATTAGGCTCTTGCAATAAATTCTACGCTTCCATATCTCATCATTGAAGAACAAGCCTCGAAGCAGAAATTTATCATATCTGAAGCTGCATTTTCGACCATACAAAGGGACGTATTTCCAAATATAAAGCCTATTTCCCATATAAAAGGAGATCAGCTTATTGGTCGCAAATATCGTGACCCCGCATTTGGGGGGTTTACTAGGCGGATTCTAAATGCCCCTTGGGTAGAGGCCTCAAAAGGCACAGGAATCGTACATATAGCCCCTGCCCATGGACACGAAGATTTTGAGCTGTGGAAAAGTACTGGTCAGCATCAAATTATTGATTTTGTTGGGGATGATGCCAGGTTTTCGTCTACCGCACCACATTCGAAACTTTGTGGCCTTGAGGTGCTTTCAGAAGAGACAACATGCATTATTGTTGGGATCCTGAAAGAGCACTCTATGTTCGCTAGTCTAATCCCATCGTACCAACACTCTTATCCTGTCGATTGGCGAACTAAGGGGCCCATAATTATAAGGTATCCGCCTTTAATTTATCTTGTAGAGCAATACACCAGTGGCACATTACTCTCGAGTCAATTCAATCAGATGTAAATTCTCTAATTGGAAGCGAAAAAAGCTGCTCATCATTGAATCCATCCCAAGATCCATCTGTTCCTAGTCGGCTACTTTCAGCAATGCAGGGCCGCTCTTCTTGGTGCATTTCCAGGCAACGCTCTTGGGGTATTCCCATACCCTTCTTTTATAACATTGAAAATGAAGAACCTCTCATCTCCCCAGAGATCATTGAACATGTCGCAAAGCTTGTGGAATCTAATCCTAGAGGTTCCGACTGTTGGTGGGAGGAGCCTATTTCAACGCTTCTCCCTCCCTCTATGAAAAGCCTTTGCTCTGTTCTCGAAAAGGGCTATGATACCTTGGATTGCTGGTTTGATAGCGGGTCCGCTTGGTCAATTCTCCCCAATCAGTCAGATGTCGTTATTGAAGGTATTGATGACTATCTGAATCTAGGTGTCGATCAACTTCGAGGATGGTTCCAGTCTCTTATTCTTACATCTGTTGGTGCCATTAATAGGCTTCCATTTAAGCAATGTATCCTGCATGGCTTTGTATTGGACGAAAGCGGCCTGAAGATGTCAAAGAGCATCGGAAATGTGATTGATCCCACAAACTTTATCCGCAAGCATGGCATAGAAACTCTTCGCTTATGGGTGGCCTCCTCTGATTACCGCTCAGAGTTGAAAATTGGACCACAAATTATTGCCTCCATCACAGAAATGAAAAAGAAAATCAGAAACACGGTGAAATTTATGCTGGCCAATGTTTCTGATCTGAAAAACACTACTCCTGCGAAAGTGAATCACATTTTAGCTGTTGGTTTATCACAGGTAGATGACGCCATCAAGAATGGCTATTCGAAAATAGATTCCAATACTCAAGCTACCATAAGCGATCTCGATTTAAAATCTTTCCATCGTTCCAACTCGATCATTTCCTCGGTAAAGATATTTTCCTCCTAATTGATAATAGCGAGAGCAGTATATGATATTACTTCTTGCAGACCTTGAGGCCCAAGTACGATCGGCATATGTTAAATTCGAACCATTTACAGGTGCACATTTGGATCCGTGATTTCTAGCTCTTGCTGCAATCAATTCATTTCTCACAAACCATCTTTCAGCATTCTACTTTGAGATGGTCAAAGATATTCTTTATTGCTATCCTAGGGAGGCCCCAGAACGACTCTCCATCCAACATTGCCTTATAAAAGTTTACATATGGCCCCATGTCCTTATTTTAGGTTCTATCGTCATTCCAGTGGATACTCTTTCCTATTCTGCCATATACAAGCCATCAGATACAGGAGCTGATATCTCAATTCTCACAAGTTGCGATTGCCTTTCCAAAGGCGGGCAGCACAGATTTCAATACCCAAACCAACAATGATGTTCTTGTTAAGCACTGGGGGCTTTTACGCGAACTCAAGCATACTTTCAATCGACTGATGGATGCAATGCGTAGGTCCCAGTAATATAAATGGTGATAACTCTCGTTAGCGTTGCTACAAAGCCCGAGCAGTGCCAACTATCAATCGAAGCCAAGGGGCCGCTTCTGAGGTCCGCTCTTGCTTTGCTCAAGGAGAATGAGATGCTTGCCCTATTTCAAGTGGCATACGTGTCCATCTCAGCTGGTACGCTTCCGCCAAGCAGGGATACCCCAGAAGCAAACATGCTGAGCGATAAGCTTTCAAATGGAGAAGGTATTCCATTAATTCTATTCATAGGCTTTACCCTTGTTGTAACCTTATCACCAAAACATCGATGTCCCCGTTGCTGGCTCCACAGAGCCGATGTTTTCGCATCCCCGTGCATTCGTTGCGCAGAAGCTCTTGAAAATAAATAATTATTGAAGTTTTTGTTGTTGTGTATCGTTTTCGACATATTGGCCGATTTATAGCTTAATAACAATGTGAGTGCAATTAGAGCCTCTCAAGGGACAAGAATCGAGCGTGGGTTAGGGTCAGCCAGTGGCGGTCCAGCGGTTAGATAGCTCAAGGAGGATTAGATAGTACATACTTTTTATTGAAAGATGCTTGCGGTGGCTGTCCGCACGAACTGTAGATGTGTGTCTGTATGTTCTGGGATACCGCCAAAATATCCTACACAGCATAAAGACAAGAAATCTCACCTTTTCGCCGAAGAGTCCTGCGGCAAAACTCATAAACGGTCATCAGGAGCCCTGTACCGATAGGCATCAATATTGTCCACCCTTTAATCGGTGCTGCAGGGACCAGTATATGCACGAACGGCACAAAAATGATCGCCGCTACAAGTTAAGAGAGCCCAAATGGTACCCAAAATCACCAAGCTGGCGACGATGGAGAGCAATGATCGCCGATTTCTACTTGATTAGTGGAAAAAATACCTGAAGGCATCCAAGCCAAACGGATACTCGTATAGCTTCTTTACCATGAAGAGGGTAAAAATTTGCCCCATCACAATGGCCATAAAGTATGCAGATTGCGCCGAAAGCAGAATGTCCATTTGGGTGGTCCAATTGCCAACGCCAGGCAGATCTGGTGCTCCGATTTTGAAATTGTTTTGAGCGGCACCAACAAGAGCAAAAGGCCGGATACCTCTGAGTGCAAACTCGCAAAAATATGCCAAAAAACATCCTGCTGTGACAAAAACTCCACCCTGGAGATAGGCCCAAAGCACAAGATCTGTGTCTACAAGCACCTCTCCGGTCTCCTCGCGTGTAAAATTTCTCCGATACCATTTGAAGATGCCTGACCATTTCCGTCGAAAGAAAGAGTCGAAATGCTGATCACTTTTCAGCACTTTCCGAAAATTATCACCATCACCACTAGTGGCGCCATCATGATCTTGCATATCTCCATGGAGCTTGGCCTGATTTTCTGCAGAAACAAGTGCGCTTTCTGAAAAGGAAGCTGGTAGTTCTGAAAGCGTGGCCATTGATAGCGGTAGCCCAGAAAAGACAATTGGGGGCTGATGAGCTGAGGCTGCAAGCAACGTTGACGTTGCTAAATGTGGTGCCAGCGCCTCACCGCTGCCCAAGCTTAGGGGAAGAGTCTCATATGGACGGTACTTTTTCAGTGTTGTCGAAATAGACGCTGCCAGCGGGCGAGTGGCACCCATTGCCATCATAAAGGAGGGCGTGGGCATCAGTGTTGAATACCTGCGGATTGCCTCCTTCTGCTCTTTAAGCCTACGGTCACCTGCTCCAGCGTCATATTGTGAGCAACTCATTGCGGATGTACACAACACCTTTCTGGGCGGCACTAGCATGAGATCCGATTCTGGGCGTTCCCAGGCAAGTTAAATTGACGGTGCCAGCTCCGTGGCAAGATCGATCGTCAGCAATAGCAATGTATTGATGGGTAATGGTATCTCCAAAACCAAAAAGCAGAGGAAGGCCATGATTTCAGGCAAAGAGTGTGTCAGCGTGTATCTGATCGATTTTTTCAAGTTGGCGAACAGCAACCTTCCTTGCTCGATGCCTATGAGTAAGAATGGTCGAGTATTTGAAAAATCGATCATTTGAAAGATAAAGCAAATAGGTCGATATTAAGGATGCAAAAAACTAGCGGCAATCGATGCTCACCTGAAACAATAGAGCAAAAGTCGTCATCAAGCAGAACCATTGCGGCGGCCTCTTTGGAAACATCGGAGGCCGAAACATTCATGGAGATGCCGAGATCAGCCTTTTTGAGTGCTGGTGCATCATTAACGCCATCTCCAGAGACACCTACAATATGACCTTTGGCTTGACATCGCGTTACAATCTCCAACTTATGACGTGGAGATGTGCGTGCAAAAACGATTTCAGAGTGTGAAAGAACTTGATCCCAAGCTAAATCTGTCAGTCTATCAATGGCATCTCCGTGAACAACAATGCCTTCCGCGGGAACCCTGTATGCAGAGTCCGCAACATCAGCCTTGACTTGGCCTGCGATAGCATCTTTGCCACAGCCAACATCTGGTGCATCAATGCGCTCAATGTCTCCTTGTAAAATTCCAACACGCCTCGCAATAGCCTACACCCGTAAGCGATGGCTCATACCTCAGCGGTTAGTGGATGGTCGCCAGTGACCATGACTACCTGGATTCCAGCCATCCGCAAAGCATTGACCGCACGCCGCACACCTGATTTTGGCGGATCCATCAATCCAACAAGCCCGACCAATGTAAATCCAAGCCAACTAGAAGATGACGATCCCTTGGGCGCAGGCGGGACATCTTTACCATCAACATTGGAAGCTTTAACAGAAACACAGGAAACCGGATCAATTAGGAAGGATCGCAATGCATCTACGTCTGAAGATGTCCAAGCACAATCAACAGGAAAAAGATCACCTGGCAATGCCAATGATGCTAATCCCAGCACACGACGACCCTGTGCTGCCATTTGGGCATAAGTAGCCTCAAAGTCAGCCTGTGCCACATCGTTCCACGGCAGCTTCAATGTGCCGCTGAGCAAATGAGTACATCGAGCAGCAACTCGCTCGGGAGCGCCTTTGAGCATGGCCATGAAAAAGCCGTCCACGTGGTCGTAGCGATGAACAGTCAAATGCCACTTGTTATGTGATGTGAATGGGATCTCCCATACTTTTGGATGTTCCGCAATGATGCGCTCATCAAGGTTTGGTTCGCACTCCAGGGCGAATTTGAAGAGCCCCACTTCCGTGGCATCGCCAAAGATTTTGAATTGAGAAGGCAGGACGCTGTTAAGGTTACTTGTTTTGTTATTTGTACTAGCGGATGATTTGTTTGAGCTTAGACTGGCTGCTTCAGGTGATGACACGGGGCCATTGCTCTCCGAAAATGGCATGGAATTGGTTGATTTAGGGCTGATAGCGCTTTCAGAGAAGCCGCATCTGCATTTGGAGCAGAGAGCGCAGATCTCAATCAACTGCTGTGCATTTGGCGTTGTTTCCAACGCAAATCTACGACGTTGCGCTGTCTCCTCTGTAGACACAGAAGAGGAGACACCATAGAGCACCGAGTTCATCCATATCTCGCTGACACTCATACGATTTTGCGTTAATGTTCCCGTTTTATCAGTGGCCAATAACGTAATGGCGCCAAGCGTTTCTACACCATGCAAATCTTTTACGAGCACATTTCGCGCCGCCATCTTTTTGGCGGAAAGCGTTAAAAGAGCCTGAAATCAAGAGAAAATCCGTACCGTGACAGTAAGCGGTAGCCCCTCAGGCACGAAGGAGATAAAAACGCCAACGGCAAAGCTAAAATTCATGCCCAAAGACAGGTTGCGCACCAACCCAAAACAGAAGAAAAATATTGCCGTTGTGATGGCCACGACCGCTAACACCTTGACAAAGATATCGATTTCACGCGTTAATTGCGACGGTCGCCGTTCGCCACTCATGGTCAGGCCAGCGATTTGACCGAGCATTGTGGCATCTCCAATGCGCACAACAATTCCAAGCCCCTCTCCAGAGACTGCAATCGATCCATTGAATATGAGATTTGCAGCCTCTTGTGGCGGCAAACCTGCTGCAGAAACTGCCGTGCTTCGCTCTTGCGGCTCTGACTCGCCTGTCAGGGATGAGTTGTCCATCTATGTATTAGTTTGGGGGGGGGCATGATGGCTAAGATAAAAAAGGAAGGAAATCCGAACAGTGAAAATAGTAAATCCGAATAGTGGAAATAGTAAATCCGAACAGTGGAAATAGTAAATCCGGCCGAGATTGAAGCAAAATTTTTACCTTAAGCTCATCGCAATGTACCAAACGCATGTCTGCAGGGACTTTGTCACCGCTACGCACTAGTACAAGGTCGCCTGGGACAAGCTCCGAAGCCTGGTGGACCTGTAGCCTGCCATCGCGCAAAACCATTGTGTTTTGTGGAATCATTTGCTACGTGTTGTTAAAAGCATGCCTTACTTTGAAGGAGGCCAACAACGAAGCAGTGCGATACTCCTGCAGAAACTCCATCGCTGCGTTGGTAAAGGAGACTATGAACAGAACAATCCCAAGATAGAGCTACAATAAGAAGAGAAATGCTACATTTTCCACGCTAGAGTTTTTCGCGGTTGCAAATAAGACCAGGCTCATAAACCCTACAAATGAGAGCCAGAAAGCAACAGGGAAAACTGGGGGGAAATCGGAAAATCAAGCAAGAAAAAAGAACACACCTGCAAGCATTAGCAAGATGTTGAAAATGCTCAACAAGCACGTCATGAACCGCCGAATCGCAGATATGCGGCGAGGAGGCGAAAGCTGGTTAAGCGCGCCATTCATTCGCCGGTACTCGTCCACCTGCTCAGTGGTCAGCCCGACATTCTGCATTGCCAAGGCGGTGGGCGAAAAAGAGGTGCCATACCTGGCGCAAACCTCCTCGATTTCGATCAAATGCTCGTCAATGGGAACAAAGTGTGTATCCAAGGATGGCGGTATGTCCGCAATGAGCGGTCTCTCCTCGGCCTCCTTTGATGGGATCTCGATATTAATGTGAGAGGCACGTGTGCCCCCATTGGCCGCTGCAATACCAGCACTGACCATGCCATCCATCAAATCGAAAATTTCATAATTTCGGGATCCTAGATCAACGATCAGCACAACAATGCAACTCTACTGGCCTAATCGTAAATTGCATCCAATTGCAAGTTGCAATCACAATTTAGTCCCGAAATATCACCTCATATAAATTTCGGAAGGCCATCATCATCATCATGATCTGCAAAGCATATAATCAGCATAGTGCAGCACGATGAAGAATCATGGCCATCAACATTGCCAGGATGGTGCCAAAATCAAGCCAGTGCCGAGCGATTTTTACACAGATGTCAATACATGATTTGTTTTATTCGGTTTACACAACCTGGATGCGGTCATCTGCAGAGGGACAGTACAAGTTCAACGGGTATTGCAATTCGCGATGCTTCTCCGCCAGTGGGCGAAAGAGGTCGTTCCTAATGGATAAGAGTTGAGGGTTACCAAATCGCAATGGCAAGTGTCTGGTGGCCAAGCAGTGAAAGATGGAAACAGTCCAACTTGCTTATGAACTCAATGGGGACATCACGTTCTAGATTGATTTCCGTCAATTGTGGTGAAAGGATGACTGCAAAGTCTTTCATGAGCGGCACACGAACACCACGATCGATATCAAAAACGGTATAAGCCTTCCAAACATCCTCTAACATTTCGTTGTACACTTTCATGCGTTCCTTGAGTATTTCTCGTCCAAACTCGGAACGGCAACATGGACAAAGGTATTTGCGTAGCCAATTCACATTTGAGCATCGTTCTTTGTCTCGTGTCCAAAGATCTAACGGAGAGACATCAAGCAGCTGGACGATGTTTACAATCGTTTTCGGGTAATTTTCTGAAATCTGCTCCATTAGGTCCATGACCTGTTTCTTGAAGGTCTTCGGATGCCTCGGTGAATTTGGGTTTTCCGGAAATGCCTTTTCGCAATCAGGAACACACAAATCGTTCATTCCAATGAAAAGTGTCACCATCTAAAAATTATCGTCGTTACCGTAACATCACGTACCTTCCATTCTGCAGAGAGATCGATGTTGGTTTGGTTTGCAAGCTTTTTGAGTTGGTTGTTTATGTACACAAATTGCTTACTAAGAGCATCAGATTTGGAGCCACTAATGGCGGCATTGAGATTGTCAACCTTGGAACTATAGAGCCAGCTAAATGGCGGGCACCAACCGCGCAAGCACATTCGCACGAATCGTTTGCCTCTGGAAGCTCCTAGTGGTCTTTTGTTCGTGTTGATGTTGGCGTCGATGTCTCTACGCCTTGCAAATGGATTCCAAGACGGATAGACGTTTGAATAATAAGGGAACGACTTTTCTTCCTCTTCCAAAAAAGGCGAATCTTCAGCCGCAGACATAGGCATGTTCTCATCTCCAAAAAAGCCACCCAAATTAAGATAGGTCTCTTCCATATCTTCCTCCTGCTCCTCATCTTGCTGAAAAGGAGCTATATTATCATTCTTGTGATAATGAGCAATGAAATTGGCAATTGAATTAGCCCCCTTATCTCCGCCCATGGAAAAGCTATGGCCCCTGAACTCTTTCCACGACATGGGGTTGAAAATCAAGCTTGT